GCGGTGCCGGTGCCTGCCCTCCGGCCCGCCGCGTGCGTGGCTGCTCGGGGCCGCACCGCTGTCCCGGGCTGACCCCGGCCCCGCTCCCCAGGCCCGCTGTCCCGCCCGCGCCGGGATCTGCGCAGCCCCCGCGGTGTGCGCGGGGCGGGGCGGCAGCGGCCCCGCGGCAACAAACCCTCACGGACGGGGACCGTGTTGGGAGAATTCCGGTGCTGAGGAGTTTCACGCTTTACAAATTCAGGAATCTCATGAAATATCTCGTTATGAACAATGTAGGCGAGGCACAGCCCTGCTCGGTGTGCGGGGTGAACCCAGAGGCTGCCCGGGGTCTGCAGGAGGAGCTGGGCAGGAGCCGTGCGAGGCTCTGTGCTCTGGGTTTGCAGCTCTTGGTGTGTTCGCCCTTACTGAAAACGCTGCTTGAACAGGCTGAACTTGACTTCAGCTTCCTGGCTGTGAACACCTTGAGCTCTTGTGTTACCAGAACAGAGGGATTTCTGTGATACACCACATCCAAATAGCTTTAATTATTAACCCTAGTAGAGCTGGTTTTTCTCTTCTGAAGCAATTAAATGTCCATGATAAGAGCACAGCTGTCACCTTTTGTAAGTATGGAATTAACCTTAATGCAAACAGCCCTTGTGGCAATGGAAGTAACTCTTTGGGCAAAGGTGTGTCACTGGTCGTGCGTGCAGAGGTACTTCACTGCTCAGGGCCTAAGTTTTCAGGGTTGGGTTTTTTGGGTTGGTTGGCTGGTTGTAGGGCCCACAATAGTTTCAGGCAGTTCTACAAGACAGTGCCAGTATTAGTATTTTTAAATACCAGCTATGTGTATTCTCAAAGGTCGTGATCCTGCAGATGCTTGACGTGGCTTGGCCAGGCTGTGGGTCTCTAAGCTGGATCATCCTTGCAACTTGTCTGCATGCTCAGATACCCCGAATTCCTTGGGCCTCCTGCCCAGTGCCCCCTGGGGTGCCCAGGCCTGGGCACTGCTCCAGAGCTGCCTCTTCCACTGCCACCAGTGATATGACCAGCTATGTTCCCATCCATCAGCCAGGCACTGCAGAGACTGCACCTGCATCTGCACATTTTGTTTAAAAAACAAAATGAAACAAAACTCCAACATCCAAACCCACTCTCTTGGTGGTTAATGCCACACTGAGTTCAAAGTCAATATAAGACCTGATCATATCTTCTCTCTTAAATGTCTGGTACCTCAGAAGCAGGGCACAAAGAGTCTCTTTACTCGGTGAACACCCTTATCTAAACAGCACCAGAATAATCTGCTCGGGAACTGGAAAGCCATTTACTATCTCATTTCTTATCAGTAATGCAGGGCAGTCTAGGGAGCTAAATCAGTCCCAGGGCTCTCAGAGGCAAGGCGTACGGCTGTTTTGAGTTGTGTGTCGGCAGGTTCTGATTGCTGTTGGGTGATTACAATAACCTTTGGTATGATTATGCAGCAGATCACAGCTGCCCTTCTTGGAAGTACAGCAAGAAAGTATTAACTGCAGTGGCTGACGTGTACTTCCTCCTGTATCTGTGGCAGGACTACCAAGCCTGAATATTCTGACTCAAAGCCAGAACCACCTTTACCTTTTGTGTGCATGTGCCAGAGCTGCGTTAATGCTTTTGTCTCCCTTGGACAACACAACCAGCAGCATTAACTCAACACTGAATTTTCCTGCTGTGATAAATGAAAGGTGAGGCCCATAACACTCTCAGCAACTGGGAACTGGGCTGAATATGTGGCTGAGCAGTTAGCTCAGCAAGCAAAAGGGATGATGATGAACCATCAGCATTGTGCAGTTGGTGCCTCTTGTAGCTCTGGGTGTGATGAGGTGTGGGCTGGGTGACACTCAAGACCCTGTAAGGGTTGTGTAAGGGCAATTGCCACCGTCCTGGCACATGAACCCCATGACAGCTCAGCACTAGAGCTGGCTCAGGTGTTGTGGGCAAACCTCCACTTACTGTCCTTCAGTACCAGAATAGAGCTCCACTTGCCTGTGTCCGTTTAAGAACAGTTTAAGCAGTCTGAGTTTTCAATGCCGTAGTTATGCCTGTAGCTAAAAGTTCTGTTTCATCAAGAGTGTAGTCACTTGGTGTAAATCTAGTCAGGTAAGGGATCTTCTTTTAGAAAAACTTGAAAAAGGTTTTTGGTTAACCCTCTCCCCCTACCCACACCTGAGATCATGAGGCTTTCCCTGTTAATGCCACAGATATCAGTAACTGTCAGCTTCAGTGAGGCTCTGAGTTTTTACCTGAGTTTGAGTATGGTGTGTCATGACCCTGAGACCCTGAGACACAGCTATAGAGCAAAGAAGAGGCTTTTCTTCTGGGATAGGAGCAGGAGTGTAGAAAAGTCGTTGCTATCTTAGTTCTTAGGGCAAAGGTTTCCCTGCTGCTTGATCTGTTTTTTCCAGGAGGGAGGGGAGAGTAAGGGATTGGAGAAAATTACCCTCCTCCTCTTGCGTGGTTTGCTTCACTTCATTAAATCATCAGCCATCAAGCTGATAGTGTACTTGCTAAGGACTCGTTCTGCACTGGCATGCTGAGGGAGCAGGGCATAGGGATGAAGATGGCTCCTGAGCATGTTGGGAATTGTACTCTTGTCCTCCTTTGGAGATAAAAGGGCTATATGGAGGACACAGTAAATGTCTTTCTAGCCCGGTCTGCCAGCACTGTTGCTCCAATCAGCAGCGAGCACTGATGGTGAGTTACAGCTCAAACTCTCTCTGATTGGGCCACTTCTGTGCCAGGTGTGTGCTGTGTTTGAGGCTTTTGTGGGAGCAGCAGCACTGGGCCTGGTGCACGGGCATCAGGTGGGAGTTAGGTGGAGGAGATCGTCCTTGGTGTGGTAGGTACAAAGTCCAGGCTTGTTGTGTCCCTCTCTGGTTCCTGTTGGGCTGGTGTCAGCTCCCCCAGTAGATCTGACGTGACATCTGATGGGTTTGTGTCCAACCAGTGCCTGGTAGTGTGACTGCAGGTCCTTGTCTGATGTGCTTCTGCTCCAGCACTTTCTCTGAGCGCTTATGTGTTACATCTGCCCTTTCTGGGAGCACTCTGCCTTTCTGCCTGGAGGTCTGTATTATTCTACCCTGACTTCCAAGGGGATTTCACATGCAGATGGATTGTTCTGTGTGTTTATTTCTTTTGCATGTTCCTGCTCTGCTCGGATGGATTAAGACAATTGTCACCTGCCCTGATGCTGTGTTGGCAGCAGGCTGATGGCCTTGGGGTGTGCCTCCTGTTGCTGCCAGAGGACTGGGAACTGACAGCTGTATGTGGCAATTTGGTCTCCTGCAGTATCCTGGCTGTGAGGGAATGCATCACAAAAGAGGAGGAAATACAGTAACTCTTAGTCTGGGGAATGCTGGAAATCATGTGACAACATGAGAAGCAGCTGCAGAGAGTGTCTCATGTCCGTTTTTAGGAAGTACTTAATAGCGTGAGCTGTTCACAATGTCCTGTCCTCAAGATTGCACTTACTCAGGAGGAATACTTTTGGCCACTTTATAGTCAGGAAAAACACAGTGAAAGGCACCCACTTCACACCTGTGAGGGTGCAGCTCTGGTCAGAGGTGAACAGCTGTGTCCTTGGCATGTACAGGTCAGGGAAACAGTGTGTTCAGACTCTGTCCCTTCTGCGGCAGGCAATGCTGCTACTGTAGGTGACAGTGCAGGACATGCTCCTTTCCTGGCATTTCTGACTCATAGCAAGTATTTGCCAGCCAGTCAAAAGAGGTGATTGTCCTGCTCTGGTCTGCACTGATGCGGAGCATTTTGAGTTCTGGGGGCAGTTTTGGGCACCCCAATATAAAAAAAACATTACGCTATTGGAGAGCATCCGAGGAGAACCACAAGGATGTGGAAGGGTCTGGAGGGGAAGCCTTATGAGGAGCTGCTGAGGGCACTTGGTTTGTTCAGCTTGGAGGAGACTGAGGTCAGACCTTGCTGGGGTCTGACACCCTCCTGAGGGGCAGCGGAGGGGCAGGTACTGATCTCTTCACTCTCGTGAAGACTTAGCAACAGGACTCAAGGGAACGGCTGGAGCTGTGTCAGGGGAGGTACGACAGATGAGTTGGAGGGGGAACCTTCAGGCTCTGGGTGTCAGTCCATTACCTGGAGGTGCATGCTCTTCCCCCCTGCCCCCACCATGTGGCCCTGCGACCCCTTAAGGAGCTCACACAGACCACCAGGGAGGGACGGACGAAAGAGGAAGTTTATTGTGGGGATAGGGGTTTATAAAGCTTTTGGGAGGGTCAAAGGGGACCAATCACAGGTTCAGGGTCTTACAGAAAAACCAGTCAGGTAGAGAGTTAACAGCCAATAGGAAAGGGTTAACAAAGGCCAATGAGAACACCTCAGGTCATCTTCCCAGGACTCCTGCATGGGAGATAAGAGTCCTTCACAGAGGGTGTCAGGAAGAAGGAAGGAGCAGTGACTTTGCAGAAATGCCAAAAGCCATTTTAAGACATGTTTAAACAACATTAAAAACTTCTGTTTCTATAACATTTGAGCTGTTTTCTTCTTTTTCTTCACCAGTCCATCTTTGACAGGACTTTTCCCATCCTACATATGGTAAATCCATTGCCACAGGGAGGTTTAGGTTGGATATCAGGAAAAGATTTTAAACCCAGAGGGTGGTCATGCACTGGAACGGGCTCCCCAGGTCATGGCCCTAAGGCTGACAGAACTCAAAGAGTGTCTGGACAATGCTCTCAGTACATGGTAGAATTGTTGGGGTGACCTGCACGGGGCTGGGAGTTGGACTCGATGATTCTGATCGGTCCCCTCCAACTCAGCATATTCTGTGATTCTATGACTCGGCCATGTAGTGAATCAGAGCCAACTTGCAAACTCAGACACCCTGACCTGCAATCCAAACTGTTGCTGATGCTTCCTCTGTGTCCTCTTTCTCTGCCACAGAGTTGTCACTTCTTCCTTTTCCCTCCTCCCTGCAAACTCCTGCACCTCTCAAACTGATCTCTCTGTTACTGTAGGTCTTCTTGAGCTGAAAGGATGAAAATTGGTGATTGGAAAGTCACTGTCACTGTCCTGAACTTTATCCTGACTTCTGGAGTCCCAGTTGATGTCTTCGGGCATATGAGCCTGTGAGAGTGTCCCCTGTCCCTGTCCACGATTTAGGCAGCGTCTGGAGCATGCATCACTGTAAGGGTTACACGATTTCAGTGCTGGTGGTGACACTGTTCCGGTGCAAGGGGGTTGATTGCAAAATGGAGCTGCCTATCTGAAATGATACAGAATTCCAGATCCCCTCCCACCCTGAGGGTCTCCTCCTGCTCCCTCCTTTTGTGTTGGGCAGCACCATCCTTGGGCTCCCTCATGCTCCCTCATCCCCGGCCTCCCCACCATCACCTGCATCCGTCACGCAGCCAGTCCCGGGATCACCCTGCATCTGACTTCTCTCTCCCTTTTGCGTGCTGTCATTCCAGAGCGGGATGGTTGGCCACCGAAGCTGCAATGTCGTCCCTGACGACCTCCAGTGAGGGAGAAAACTCCACTCCCAGGTTTGTTGTCGGTTCCAGAGATGATGAGACAGAATTTCTGGGATCAAACATGAAGACAGACGAAACCGATTTCTTTGAAGATGATGAAGAGGAGGAGTCGGTAAGGAGGTCCCAGCGTTCTGGGCTGGAGCACCTGTGTAGAATCCCTGGGTCTCAGCCAGGTTGTGCGTGGTTACTGCTGAGGCTGCAGGCAGTTGGGACTGCAGGGGACACAGTTCTGGCTGTGAGGCACAGCTGGGGCAGTGGCATTTCTGACAAGGCACATTACTGTTGACATGCTGCCTCAGGAAATCCAGCATTTTCGCTTGCAGGTCTGATTCAGGGACAATAGTGGATTTCTTTGTCCTAGAAACTTAACCCTGACACTCCTGTAAATCTTTCTGTTTCACCAGGAAAATTTTTGAGGAAAACTCTGGGACCTGTGAAAAGGGCAAAGGCGTCTCTGCAGAAGAGAAACATTTATTCTTTTCTGTAACCTCCAGGAATATGAGAATGATCTCCAGCTCCCAACTGCTTTTGGCCACTATTCAGTGTTATATTAAATTTTACCAAACTGATCTCTGTCTTCCCTTAGCCACCGGAACGGCAGATTGTGGTGGGAATCTGTGCCATGACCAAAAAGTCCAAGTCAAAGCCCATGACACAGATTCTAGAGCGTCTGTGCAAGTTTGAGTACATCACAGTGGTGATCATGGGGGAAGATGTTATTCTGAACGAACCGGTGGAGAACTGGCCCTCTTGTGACTGTCTGATATCCTTCCACTCCAAAGGTAAAACATCTGTAGCAGGCCTTAGCCTGCTTGAGTTGTGGGCAAGGGAGCTTGCTCTCAGCCTTCCCCTCTATCCCCAACCTGTATTTCAGGATTCCCCCTGGATAAGGCGGTTGCTTATGCCAAGCTGTGCAAGCCATTTCTGATCAATGACCTTGATATGCAGTATTATATCCAGGACAGGTGGGTATCCAAGCCACTAAAGCCCCTTCCCTCTTCCTCTGTCTGATTCTTCTCAGCACACTGCACAGAATTCATCTTCCTGGCCACAAGCAAATGAGTGAGGTGGGAGGAAGAGGATCTTAGCTGTGGCTTTTTGGAGTTGTTCCTCCAAAGCATGGAGGGGAATAGCTTTGAGGGTAAAACCGTTGAGACTTGGCATATTTCATTTTCTGGTGCAAATGTCTTGTAAGGAATGGATGGGAAGTAGGGAGTGGAAGAGTTCTCACAGAACAAGGCTACCACAACTAAAGAAAAAAGGTAGTTTCTGAGCAGAAGAGCCAAGTGGTAAGATGGGCCTCTGAGTCAGAAATTAGGAGCAAGGCCTGTTGGGGGTGTTACATTTATAGGTCTTAGGAGGATTCACAGAGTAACCTGTTACAGGCTCAGGGGGTTTACATGAACACCAATTCCAGGAAAGGGTTAACAGCCAATAGGAAGGGGTTAAAAAGGTCCAATGAGAAGACTTCTTGATATCTTCTCAGGACATTCCTGAGACAGAGATAACAACTGTCGTGGGGGGTCTTGGGAAGAAGAAGCATGTGTTAGCAAAGAGACTACAAAAAGCCATTTTGAAGCATGTTTAAACAACTGTTTCTCATATAATGCAGATTTGCTGCTACAAAGGCCAAGCCAGATTGTGTGGAAGATGTGTTGGTCAGACACTTGAGGCTTCTCAGTCATCTGTTGGTAGAGGCCACCAGCAGCCACGTACTTCAGCTGTTACACCCAGGCTGTTTTGGCTGTGTGTGGGTAGGGCTCCTACAGACCCCAAACCTCCTGCCCTGTGTTTGGGGTGGTGAGCGTAGTTACGTGGGTGCTGGCAGGCACCCCAAGGTGTAACTAGTGAAAGACACAGGATGAAAGAAGGCTCTGCTGCCTCTGCTTGGCTTAGGCACTGGGCAGCTTGGCATGACAGGGCGCTCTCCAAGAGGGCAGGTCTGGGCAGGTGGTGTGTACTGGGTGTGCTGCTATGCTTTGAGCACATGCTAATAATTGAGCACCCATGCTTAGGCCAGGTAGAGATTTACTCTGGGGCATCTGTGTCTAGAATAGGACTGAGGCAAACCCCATAGCTTGTAGGTCTCATCCAGAGAGCATGAACTGAGAAGTGTTTGCACTTTGTCTTGAGGCTTTTTTGTATTCATTTGACTTTGTTCGTCATCAGTGGGAATGAAGTCTTCCCATTGACATGTACTGAGGACCTTCTAGACTCTTCTGACACTGTGTCTGTCCTCTACAGGCGTGAAGTGTATCGGATCCTTCAAGAAGAGGGAATAGACCTGCCTCGCTATGCTGTGCTCAATCGAGACCCGGACAGACCGGAAGGTCAGTGTCCAGGCTCTGCTGAAAGCCATTTCCCCAGGCTGTGCTATTTAAGATACTCTGCAGAGAACAGGCACTGGTAGTCACCTCAAAGAGGCCTGACTCACAAGTCTGGAGGACTTTTTTGTGAATAAAGGTCCCAACAGCAAAACTGGCTGATGGGAAGGGGCTGTGACTCTGCACTGAGGCTGTCCCACTTTTCCTGATGTGCTGCTGCTGTACTCTGTCTTCAGAGTGCAACTTGGTGGAAGGAGAGGACCACGTGGAGGTGAACGGAGCTGTTTTCCCAAAGCCATTTGTAGAGAAGCCAGTCAGTGCTGAAGACCACAATGTGTATATTTACTACCCGACATCAGCAGGTGGGGGCAGCCAGCGGCTCTTCCGTAAGGTGAGGAGGGGTCCCCAGAGCTGGCGTTGAAACCAACAGATCTGTGGGTCTGAGACCCACATGGCTGCAGCAAGGAGTGTTAGGGCAAGTGAAGGGGAAATAAAGGTTTTGTGTCATGGAAGTCTAGACCTTCTTAGAACTTTTTGTTCCACCCCATATACCCGGAAATCACAGAAGGACGTATTTTACTGGTAGTGCTGACTTCACCTTCCCCATCCTCTGTGTGACCTGAGTCCCATTTTGAGCAGTCATGGAGCACTGTGGTCCTTTCTGAATTGCATGTTGCTTTTTCCAGATCACTTCCTGGGTTTATCAAGATGATTTTTAAAAAAAAATTCTCTTCCTGTCCTTTAACATTATTCCTGCCCTTCTCAGCTTAGTGTAGCTTGCACATGTGATAAAGGCAGTATTTATTCCTAGATTCCACAGTAAATCTGCCCTTACTCACTTCTCCCACTTTGCCAGTAAACAGTTATATCTGTGATGTATCTTTTTTCCAATTAGTTATGCATCTGCCGTTAATAATTCTAAAATGATTGTTCCCTTAGGTAAGATACAGGCATGCCACTTGAGATTGTATCTAAAGCCTTACTAAAAATGAAAACATTATCCTTGATGTTGATAAGATCGGTCCCGATCCTAGAAGGAAGTTAAATGGGTTGGATTATCACCTGTCATCATTTCTTTTAATTTGCCTATTAGGCTCCTTACTTTTTATGTCTTTGTCCACTGTTTTTTTGTTATGTATCATTGACGTGATTGGAGTCAACCTAATGGTTTGTAATAGCTTTTCTCCTCTTTAAAGCCTGGAAAATGACATACTTACTGCCCATGTTTTGCAGTCTCTTTGTCCTCTAGTAAAAGAAAGTGTGCTGTAACAGCTGGGGGTACTGAGAGGCTAATTCTCCACTAATTCCACTAATTCTGTACACGTGGGATGAAACTTCTTAAATTTGTTGTTCCATCTAAAAAAGGGAGCCTGGTGTTCTCCCCTGATGTGTTTATTCTGTACTCTCAGATTGGCAGCCGGAGCAGCGTATACTCTCCAGAGAGCAGTGTGAGGAAGACAGGCTCCTACATTTATGAGGAGTTCATGCCTACAGATGGCACTGATGTAAAGGTAAGGGAAAGCCTGGAACAGCTCCTTCCTTCTCCAGGCCTGTGAGAGCTGAAGGTTGGGGAGTCCTGCTTAGTCCTACTTAGGCTCTGGAGTGTGTGTGTAAGCTGTGAGGTGCTGACTGTGCAGCTTGGGCCCCAAAGCGGGGAGTGTGTGCTCTGTAGGTCACACCAGGAGGTATGTGTGAGACCATCTGAACTCCTTCTCTGTGTCTGCATCAGAAATACCTTCTGGAAGGTGCAGTTAGTCTAGGTGCCTGTGTCAGGTTTAACTCTGTCCCTTCCAGGTGTACACTGTTGGGCCGGACTATGCCCATGCAGAGGCTCGCAAATCCCCCGCTTTGGATGGGAAAGTGGAACGGGACAGCGAAGGGAAAGAAATCCGTTACCCAGTCATGCTGACTGCCATGGAGAAACTCGTTGCCCGTAAAGTCTGTGTAGCCTTCAAGGTCTGTATTTTCTTTCATGTGCAAGCAGGACTCCATGACTGTCTGATCCATATCTGGGTCAGTGTTAAAACTTGTCACCCTGCCGTGTCTCAGGCATGGCAGTCCTCCATGCCTGATGCCAGCTGCTGGTCCTGCTGGGCAGAGGTGACTGGGAAGGCAGGAGGCCTGCAGCAAATGCCCTCTGTGCTGGCAGGTGCCTAGTGTCCCACATACATCCGAGCATTTAATATCGGATCTTGAGCACACTGCTCTCCATCTGACCTGTGTTCATCCTGCCTTTACTATTTCCTGCTTTTGTTTATGTGAAAATTTTTATATTTTTCTGTGGTGTTTTGGTACTTTTTTTTCTTTTTTTCTTTTTTATCTGGCTCTGGTGCAGATTTATATTTTATTTTACATGTGGGTAGAGAGAGCGTGTGAGTCTAGGTATGGTTCCATGACGTGTTCAGCAATGTCAGCAGAAGAAGCACTGGCTCCTTGTTCCTGCCTCACTGTAATCAGTAGCCCATCTAGTTTTGCTGATGCAGATTTGGGCTCCTTTCAACCTTGTAGCCTTTTCCACATAATGATGAGTATCTTTGCCTGCACCACTTCTTGTCTGTGCTTATCAGTCTGGTTCAAAATGGTTGGATTTGGAAGGAAGAGCAGGAGATCCGGGAGCTGCTCTGTTTTAGGCCTCTAGTGCTCTGGGAGGTTCTGGGTCGGCTTCACCTGGGGGTTTGTGGGTTGGGCCTTTGGACAGCAGTGGGGGTGAAAAGGTTCCTCTGCAGGGCCTGGCCCTTCATGGCACGTGTTCACACTTCTTGGAGGCTCGTGCGGTGGGCACAGAGTGGAGGATGGCTGCAGCACCGGCGGGGCTGAACTGGGCAGCATTGGCTGGGTCTGTGTGTGCCCCACTGGCGGGGCAGCTGCTGTCCCCCACTGTGGTGGTGGTCCCTCACTGTGTGCCCAAGTCCTGTGTCCTCTGCTTCTTCCTTCAGCAAACCGTGTGCGGGTTCGACCTCCTGCGGGCCAACGGCCACTCTTTTGTTTGTGATGTGAATGGCTTCAGCTTTGTGAAGAACTCCATGAAGTATTATGATGACTGTGCCAAAATCCTCGGGTATGTACAATTCAGATTTTGATAAGGGAGTAAGATAATTCACAGCAAAGTAAAATGAACATGGAGTCCTGGTCAGTATGTCGGAGGAGTCTGCAGATGGTTCATTTGGGTCATTTGTTCAGCAGGTGAAAGCTTGGCTCTGGGAGGAATGGGTTAATTATTTTTAGACCCTGGAGCTCCTGCCTGCATTGGCATTAGCTGTCCTGTCTTTGTCTACAGCTAGATATATCTTACAGGACTTTTCGTTGATAAGCCCACTTGCAGTATTGATGATGTGAGGGAAAGTGGTGCCCCTTCGGGGTGCCCTAATTAACCCACAGTGTAATAGGTGTCTCTCCGAGGAAAGTGAGGGGAAATTCTGTGTCTCTCTTCAAGTCTTTCAGCTGGACTGCTAAGGAGGAGGTGTAGAAGCAAGGGAATGGAATTTCTTGTGAGTGTTGTATTCTGATTTCTTCCAGAAATATAATCATGCGGGAATTGGCTCCCCAGTTTCATATACCCTGGTCCATCCCAACAGAGGCAGAAGACATTCCCATTGTCCCCACAACTTCAGGCACTATGTGAGTACCTACAGTCTTATCAAAAGAGTGCCAGTGATGGCTACATGAGGGGCAAAGTGCAAATCCTGTCCAAGGCCCAACACCACTAGCAGCACAGCATCCTCCAGCTGCTGTGCTGCTTACAAGCCTGGAATGCCTGTGGAAAGGCTTACCCATGCACACAGAAGGCATGGCATGGTGTGTAGGTTTGCTGAGTTCAGACAAGCAGTCACTGAAGAAATTACAGAAACTGCTCACATGGCTTTCAGAGGGCCCAAATTCTTGATCAGAGCAGGAAACAGATCAGAGCATTGTTGTAGCTGGCTGCTACTTTAGAGAAAGTGCATGTTGAGCTGCCAGTGAAATGGGTGGAAACAATTAGCTGAAATACTCTCATTACCCACCCACTTGGCAGCCCCTCATTTCATACCTTTTGCCTTACTAGTTTTCCACCACAGAAAGCTAAAAGACAATGGCAAAAGTTTCTTTATGATCCTCAGCATACTTGTACATGTGTATGAAAACAGACAACCTGGTAGGGTTTGAAGAGCTCTGACTGCTTCTGCAACCTTGGCACTTGTGCCTGCTTTAGTTTGAGAGAATTTCTGACCCTGATGGGGAAAGTAGCTGTCAGAAGAATGGAACTGAAAGACAAATGGGAAATTACTCTCTGGTGGCAATTCTGGAGCGTAGGAGCACATAGGTCAGGTGTACCTTATGTTTTCCCAGGATGGAGCTTCGCTGTGTTATTGCAGTCATCCGGCACGGAGATCGCACCCCAAAGCAGAAGATGAAGATGGAAGTGAAGCATGCCCGGTAAGAGCCAAGGCAAGAAGGTGCTGTGCTGCTGGAAAGGGAGGAGGGCCTGTTCTCTGAACCAGGAGCAGGAGCAGAGGGATGAGTGTGTGGGAGGCAGAGCTTTTTTCTGGCACCATCCAAGCAAATGCTTTCGGCCCAGTTGAGAAAGCCCCCTTCCCCCATAAGGACCCTGGCACCTTCTGTGTGAACACTGGAAGAGAGAGTGAAGGTCTGCTAGGTGCTGTAAAGGGAAGTGCCCCACTACATTGAAAGCTAGTGGCTGCTTCCTGGTCCTATGTTGAAAACCACTTGTTTTTCCAGAATTTCTGAAGCACAGGGAGGAACCAACAGGCTGCTGGTTCTCCCTGAAGGACAGAGACTGAATGCAGATGTAGGGATGACGTTCCTTGTATCACTGAAACAGCAGAAAATGAATCAGCATTCTTTGTTGTCTGTTCAGGTTCTTTGAATTATTTGAGAAATATGATGGTTACAAGACAGGGAAGTTGAAACTGAAGAAACCAGAGCAGCTACAGGTGAGGAAGTCCATTCTGGGGTTACTGTGTGGGACATGCAGGTAATAGAGATTCTGGTGCAAGGCAATTCTTTGGGATGGTAAAAACCCTCAAAAGGGCAATAGTCTGTCACACAGATGCTCCCTGTCTCATTCTGCACCCTGTGCACACTCAGCTGGGTGACAGCAGGAGAGCAGAATGGAAACTTCTCGGGGCTGATGTGCACACTGTAGGATGGGGATGTAGGACCTGATGCAGCTTGCCCACCTGCTGCAGTTGCCTCTGGTGGCGGATGGGAGTGGGGCAGTTGGAGGTACCTGCTCGATTCTCAATGGGACTGGAGCACGGGGTGGGAACGAAGCAAACTGCCATGTGAAGGTTTGTCCTGCCTGAGCTGTGTCTTATGAAATGACATGTCTCTGAGGAGTGTCTGTGTGAACCTGATGCTAGGTAAAGCTGTAAGGAGTCCTCGCAGGAGTACAGTGGTGAGTCTGAGGCAGAATTGCTGTCTGCTTTCCAACAGGAAGTGCTGGACATTGCGCGGCAGCTTGTGGTGGAGCTGGGAAGCCACAGTGATTGTGAAATTGAGGAGAGGAAATCCAAACTGGAACAGCTGAAGAGCGTCTTGGAGATGTAAGGATTCCTATTTCGGGGCACCATGGGTTTGCCTCAGAGCATGTGATACAGAAACAAGCTGTGCTGCTGGTGTCCTGGCCAGATGGCACCCACAGACTGGGGTCTCCTCTGTCCCCTGTTAGCAGCTGTACATGAAAGGTACCATGATCCTAACCTTTTCTTCTTGACATCAAGCCCCCTGCTGGTTCTTTTCCTGTGTGTGTCTGATCTTTGGCTAAACAACTTGAGACAAAATTGAGCTTTGGTTGCTGCAGGAGAGAAACTGGAGTTCTGTAGGGATCATGTTGATATGAAGCATTTTGATAAATTTGGAACAAATCTTGTTTTAAATAAGGTTTTCCTGGTGCCAAAAGTTTAACAAAAAGGAGCTCAGAAAACGTGAAAAGATGTTTGTGTCCTTTCAGGTTTTATACAGTTGAAATAAAAGACAATATGGTTGGCATCTTAGAAACAAAACCAGGGTTTCTCTCAGGACTGCAGCTCGCTGTGGCACACACAGCTGATGTCTGTGTTCAGATTGTGTCTCTGGAGCACAGAGGAGCATTTTTTGCTGTGATTCCCTCCCCTGTTCTTTCTGCTCATTGGAGGTTAGTTATCCTCAAAACATCTGGCAGAGTGGTTTTTGTTGTGATCTCATTAATTCACTTGTTAAATATATAGGTAGAGATTAAAGCCTTAGTGAGGAATGAGAGCTCAGAGAGTTCTCGGTTGAAGAGCAAGTAAATGGATCTTTGAATTTCGTTTGGGGGACCTGTTTGGCTTTTTCTGGGGCTGTGTGCTGGGTCACAGGGAGATGGCAAAAATCTTCGTATTCCAATGCAATGGGTGTTGCAGCAGAAAGTCTCTTGCCTGTGCTGTACTTTAGCTGTGTGTGGCCTGGGGACCTCTGGGCAAAAGCTGAGTGGAATTGGCTTGTTTCAGTTTTTTTTCTCCCCTCCCTTGTGACAGGTATGGGCATTTTTCTGGCATTAACCGTAAGGTTCAGTTGACCTATCTGCCTCATGGACATCCAAAAGCTACAAGTGAAGATGAAGGTAAAGAAACCTCATCTTGCTGCCCTGATCTTCAAGGCTGGAGTTCAGATGTGCGTGCAGCTGCCCTACTTGTATAGGCCTCTGGACATGCAAGCAAAAATTGGTGACCTGTGTCTTATCTTTGCTCACATCATAGGAAAGGTTGGAGTGATGCATAATATGGTTACCAGTACACCCTGGTTTGTGCCACAGGGCTTGTGCTTCTAATTTTGTGAACGTCACCTTATACCTTCAAAAAGTAGTGACCGAATTTCCTCCTTTCTAGTTTGGTTCCTGGGGATTTTGGGTCAGGCTTGTGTTGAGAACACTCTGTGAGGTGCTGATGACAACCTCTTCTTCCTTCCCTCCCCTCCTCTCCCTCTGCAAGCTCAGCTATGAGATCTGATGTAGTGAGTACCTGTTTGTCTCCTAGAAGCTCGCCGAGAGTCCTCCCCCTCCCTTCTCCTGGTGCTTAAGTGGGGTGGAGAGCTGACCCCAGCAGGAAGAGTCCAGGCGGAGGAGCTGGGGCGAGCCTTTCGCTGCATGTATCCTGGAGGCCAAGGTGAGCTTTGTACAGGTACCTCTGGTCCTGCCCTGTGGCTGCCAGGCTACCCAGCCCAGGTGAGGGTTACTCGGGCTGTGGCTATGTGTGGCCTCTAGGACTAGTTTTGTTCTTTTGAGTTGACATGGCAGGAATAAATAATTTTGCGCCCAAAGATGTGTAAGCTGTCCAGAGAGGTCTGCTGCAGTGGTTAAACTTGTGTGTCAGAGCTTTCTTTAAATAATGTGCCAGGATTTAAAAAAAAAAAAGGCTGTTCTAATAAGATACAGTCTGACGCAGCAAATATGATTCAAAATTTATGGATTATTAAAAAGGAATTTAGGTCAGATGTAGAGAACGGAGGAAATCTGTCTTGGAAAACAGATAATCCTGCCCTGAGAGAGGAGAATAGAAAGCTTGTCCATATTTTTTCCATCATAGTTCTGTGACACTAAAAAGCATCTAGTATGCACACAAATCAACGAGAACCAAAAATGAAAATAAAAAAGATTGAGATTGGAGATTACCTTTGAGTCAGGACTAATACACTGCTACTGGATTGGCCCAGTGAGCCCAGTATTGGGTACTGCTTGTCTTTGACTTGTATGTTTAATTAATTCAATTTAATTAATTACATTTCAAATTAATTAAGCAAATTTAAATTGGATTGGAGAAGATTTCCTTCTGGAATAAGGAAGAGTTAGTTACCCCTACTGGAAAAGGATTGGGTCGGGGAACGCTTAAGCAAGCTGGACATATGTGAGCCCAAGGGCCCTCACAGGCTACACCCACAGTGCCGAGGGAGGGGGCAGGTGTCCCTACAAGGCCACTCGAGATTCTCTTTGAAAGTCTGTGCGGACTGGGGGATGTACCTGAGAACTGGAGGAGAGGAAATATCACTCCTAGCTTCAAAAATGCCAAGAAGGAGGGCCCAGGGAACTGCAGCTGGGTCAGCCTCAGCACAGTCCGTGGGATGGTAGTGGAGCAGCTAATCCTGGAGACCATTCCTGGGCACATGAGGGATAGACCAGTGACTGTGAGTAGTCAGCATGGATTCACAAAGAGAAGTCATGCTTAACTGATGTGATAACCTCCCACAGGGAAGTGAGTGCCTTGTGTAGATTAGAGTCATTCTGAACCACAGCTTTGAAGACTTCTGCTCCTTGTGGTCATTCATCTCTCCATGAGAGTGCTGTGTTCTTGAGTAGCATTTGATACCTAGCAGCTTTGTCAAGACTTACATCTGACTTCTGGATGGTGCCTATCCTTGTCTGTCAGGGTGTTTTTCTGAGTTGTGAGGTCAGTGCTGGGAGCAGCGTTCCCAGTGTACCCTGTCGTGTCATGCAATATGACTGGGTACTGTGCAGAATCACCTTGGGATTCAAGGCAGCAGCAGCAAATAGTCAACAATAGTCACTGTCTTTGAAGGTCAGACTCAAGAACTGCATTAATTGCTTTCCTCCGTTATTGATCTGACTCCTGTGGCTGACTCGGCCATCAGAAATAAACTGGCAATTTGTACCACAAGGTTGTTATAGCTGTACAGGATCTACTTTGGAAATTGTTCCCTGCTGAACAGCCTGGCCTGCAGTTCTGAGGGCAGCAGGGCCTGCTCTTGTGCAGAAAACAAGCAGAAGGAAGTGGTTTTTTTTTTCCACATCTTTATTCTGCACTGGAGTATGCAGGCTAGCAGGACTCTTACAAACTATTTAGAGGGGTTTGCTGCAGAATTTGGGCAGCATCAGACTTGACTGGTGAATGCTCACTTTTTCCCTCAAAATGAGCTTTCCCAAGTTAAGCAAAGCCTTCATTACATTTCTAGTCCTCATGTATATCTAGAACTGTTGATTTTGAGGCAGCCTAAGTGCACATTAAAGTGATTAATTCTCTAGATAAATTTGTTACTACAATAAAGTATGTTGTCTAAACCAGTATATTCAGCTGATAGTTTTGCGGGTGTCAGAATATGAATTTTGAGTTGTCCTCTGTTCCAGGTGATTACGCTGGTTTCCCTGGCTGTGGCTTGCTCAGGCTGCACAGCACCTATCGCCACGATCTCAAGATCTACGCCTCGGATGAGGGGAGAGTTCAGATGACAGCAGCAGCTTTTGCAAAGGTCCTTCCTCTCTTTTGGGCATCCATTTGTTCTGCTATGTTAGTCTTAAAATATGCCATTTCTAAAGGAAAACCTCTGGTGATGAGGAAGGAGCTGTCCTAGGATCTTCCCCCTCTGTGTTGGATGGACTGGGATACACTGAGCTAATAGCAGGTGTAGGGGGCAGGACTGAACATCTGGTGCAGCTGCACACATCTGTCATCTTTAGTGTCCTGTCCAGGACAGGACTCTGACTGGAGAAGAAGTTATGCGTGGAGTATTGCTGGTGTTTGGTGTTAGAGCACACGAAACCATTGCCTATGGAATGAGTGTTTCTGGGATGGCTGCCCAGCCATAGGGGTTATTCCTTGCCTGATGGATTTAAAAAGGTAGTTGAATATCTGGTGCAGTGTGGAGTGGGGAAGAAGACAGGTTCATCTGCAACTAAAGCTTCTAAAGCTTGAGCCAAGGGGAATCCTATGGTGGCCTTAGCTGGTCTTCAGAGCCTTTGCTGTATCAACATTTTCAAGCAAACTGAGTTGGCTGCTCTACATTTGTCTGGACAAATCTGGGGCTGCTGCAGGCAGAGCTGTCTATTGCTTTAACAGCTCTAGAAGCATGCCAGAGTCACTTCTGATAGGAGGGGCTGTTACTGTAAAACTGCTCTTCAAGGACAGTTGAGATTTCACTCAAGTTGGCTGAAACCAGATATGTTTGTCGCTTGGGTTGCACGGAGCTGAAATTTTGTCCTGTGTGGCTTTAGGGTCTGCTGGCCCTGGAAGGAGAGCTGACCCCCATCCTGGTGCAAATGGTGAAAAGTGCCAACATGAATGGTCTGCTGGACAGTGACAGTGATTCCCTTAGCAGCTGTCAGCACAGAGTGAAGGCACGACTGCATGAAATCATGCAGAAGGATGCTCAGTTCTGTGAAGAGGATTATGAAAAGGTAAAGCACCTGTGTGGCTTCATTGCTCCCTGTACCTGGAAGGAGAACAGCATTGCTGTAGTGGTTTGATATTAAGTCTGTGGTGTGTAAACAGTATTTGGTTAGTTTGAGATCAATTCTGGTCAAAATTACAGGATATGCACAGAAGTGTGCAGGTGAATAGCCCCTGCTCTTCTTCGAGTGACAGTCCTCAGTGTTGCTCTGCTGACCCCTTCAAGATTCATCGTGATGCCTTCCTCTCTCTTTAGGAGTCCCAGTGCATTTTTTTCTTGTGAGTGTGCTAAAAGAGCTCTTGTGGTTTCCTGCAGGCTGCCCAGAGCAATCCCAACTGCTGTGAGCAGGGAGCCTGCCTCGTTGGATTCCAGATCCATGCTCTGTGCACGTGTGGACAGACCTTTTGGATACAAATCCTTGTGTGTCCTCTCAGAGTCTGGTACCTGCAGAATACAGAGCTTGGGCTGCATCCGACACTATAGCTGTGAAAGCCCTGTAGCTGCTTCTCCAGCAAGCCCTGAAAATGCTGTTTTTCCCAGACCCTGAGATGTGATTACTGGACCAAAATCCATTAAGGAACATATTTATCACCTCAAAGAACTACTTAAAAAGTCTATGAAGCCCTTCTGCTCAAGCATAGAAGCAAAGTGAGACAAGAGAGGATGTTGCAGATGGAGGGAGGTCCAATCTAATGGGAGCAGTTGTTTGCTCCCTCTGAATTTGGTCCTGAGGAAGATTTTAAAACATGCCTGACTACTCCTAGGAATAGGCCAGCTTATTGTGCTCAGCTAGGAGCACAGCTTTTGTCCCGAGTCAGAGAGCAATACAACTGCAAAAGGCAGATATTTTGTGATCCCAGTTTGTAAAGACACTAACTAATCTCTGCTGGAATCTTCTTTCAGCTAGCACCAACAGGCAGTGCTTCTCTGCTCAACTCCATGACCTTTATCCAGAACCCAGTTGAGGTCTGTAACCAGGTGTTCGCCTTGATTGAGAATCTCACCTCCCAGATACGAAAACGTCTGGAAGACCCAAAATCTGCAGGTGACCATCAGAACTGGAAAGGGTCTGAAACAGATTAATTTATTGTTACATCTTCAGAGCTCCCAAACACCACTAGGGCTTATGTTTGTCTGTAGTAAAGAAATTCTGAAGTGAAATTCTCTATGTGCAATTGATGTAGAAGGCTCCTGTTCCACTTTTCAACTACAGTTAAAGAGAGCTATAATGCAAAGGAAATGATATGTACATCCTGGTTTAGAGTGAATGTAAACAGCAGCAGTATAGTGTGGAGGGGCATGCCTAGTTTTTTCAGGCATTTTCTGGAGACTGTAAACAGCATATTTTTCAGTCACAATTTGTTCATCTCTAAGAACTTTCCCAATAACAGTACAAGAGTTTTAAAAAGGCATCTTGGGGACATTCCACAGGATTTGTGGCAGACCTAAGCAAGAAGGCAAATGGTTTCAATTTTCTCAAGTATTTCAGAAGTAGCTTGTTGCTGCAGGTTAAAACTTTGTGCAACAGATCCAGTGGCTTTTCCAGACTAGGATTCGTGTGGGTGACACGATAATCAGAGCCCTTCTGTGCTGGGAGAAGTCCGTCATAGCTGTCGCTTGAAACCTCTGCAGCAATAGTCATTGTTCTGAGATTCTGTGGTTCTCGGATGTGAATTTGTTTCAGGTTTGGTGTTCTCTGCTGTTTAGACCTGCAGCTGTATCACAGTGAGACTTTGGAACTGATGCTGCAGCGCTGGACTAAGCTGGAGCGAGATTTCCGCATGAAGAACGGGCGCTATGACATCAGCAAGATCCCTGATATCTATGACTGTATCAAGTATGACGTACAGCACAACTGTGCACTCAAACTGGAAGGCACAGCTGAACTCTTCAAGCTCTCCAAAGCCCTGGCAGATGTGATCATACCGCAGGTAGAGCCTGTGTGACAGTGCCTGTGGCACCAATTTCTGACTCTTTCCCTGTATGTTTTGTCTCAGTTCTCTTGCACATTAACCCCCAAGGCAGTGTATCGCAGTGAGTGTTTCTCAGATCTATCTTAGTGTTTGTATAAGGCCGAAACCATTTATGACTTAAAATGTGGCAAGGCTGGGCTCAGGGTTGAGGATTCTGGCAGGGTCAGAGTAATGAGCAGCTGACGCAGCAGCTTCTCCATGTTCGTTGTAGTGTGTCACAGCACAGCTCTGAGCTGCGTGTGCACTGCTGCAACATCCCATCCTCCACGTGCAAGGTCGTAAAGGTGAAGAGAGATTTCTATGTTGAAGTTCTGGCAAGTTTGTTATTCTTGTCAAACTAGGACTTGCACAGTTTGCAAAGTTGACTTGCTTCTTGCAAAGTTTCGTTTATATGGGATCAGCTTCTACCAGCAAGGTCCAGCTGCACTTGTGCCCCTGTAGAGCAGAAGTGGTCTTCTAAACTTTTTCAGTGTTGCTGGTGAGATGCAGTTTTCAGCATGGCACTGCAGGTTTTGTCTTTGCCAATAGCGGTTGTTGCTTTAATGCTTATGCCAGGTCAGGGTGTGAGTTTGCATGTCATAGATTGGAGGTTCGTTCATGGTACTTGCACCTCTCAGCTGTTGGGAGAATACTGACAGTCATGTCCAGACATGACTGGGGTTCTTGGAACTCTCTGAAATATGTGGGGAAAAAAAAAGGCAAGAGATGCTAAGTTACATCTCTCTTCCTGTCCTTGCTTAGTCAGTGGTGCTGCAAACAGGACTGTTGAAGTCAAGCTGCCTTTCATGTGAGGATGTGGCAAAGAACCAGGGCTCAGGGTATCTGTTGTTTTGTTCCTGCAGGAATATGGGATTAATAAGGAGGAGAAACTGGAGATTGCTATTGGCTTTTGTCTTCCTCTCATTAAAAAGATCCAGTTGGACCTACAGAGAACCCATGAAGATGAGTCTGTCAACAAACTGCATCCTTTGTAAGGCTTGTGCTGCATGCTGCTGCTGGTGGGGAGGGCAGCTATGGAGCAGTGGGTGGTTCCCTTGCCAGAACAGTGTACAGGTGTGGAAGGAGGTACTGAGCATACACTGAAGGACCTTCCAAGAGGAAAGCACGTTGGTGCTCCTAGAACTAGAAGAGAAATGGAAAAGGCACATTGAGACTGCCAACCAGGAGCACACTGCCACAGAAGCTTCTACCCTTTGTAGCTGGATGGTGATGCCTCATCCCTTTCCCTGCACGGGGCAAGTGTAGTGTGACGAGCCACTGCCCTACTGTGTGTCTCAGTTAGGATTCCATGAAACTTTCTGCTCCTGTACCCCATACTCCTACTGTTTGTTCTGTCCTGCTGCCTTTGACATTTCCCAGTGTGGGGTTATCTCATTGCATTAAGTATTACAGAAGTGTGACTGTGTGATAGATGGCAATTCGTTGGCAGACTGAATAACTCTGGGCTGATTTTGGTTTAGGTACTCAAGAGGAGTCCTGTCACCAGGTCGCCACGTTCGAACACGGCTGTACTTCACTAGTGAGAGCCATGTGCACTCCCTGCTCAGTATCTTCCGCTATGGGGGGCTCCTGGATGTAAGTGTCCCAGCAATGCTCACAGAGTAAGCCTCCCTGCTTTTTTCCAGTAGCCTTTTCCAAGGTGGACAGTGTATGTTTGTAGGTTGCCCCTTGAGCCAGCTCTCCCAGAAATGCTGTGCATCAGTGGCCTCTGGCCAGCTCCATCTCTGCCGTGTTTGCATGCTGCAGCTTCCTGCCTTTCCGGCACAGAGGAGCATTGTTCTTCCTCAGTGCCTGTCTTGCTTGCACAGAGACGTGTTTTCTCCAAGAGCTGTCCTGCTGGTTTCAGGTGAGCAGACCACTTACCTGTGTAGGAGGATAGCAGTATGAGGCAATGGAGATGAGGGAATTTCTCTCTTCCTGCTTCCTTCAACCCTTTATTTCAAGAGCTTGGCCCTATTATTTATTGTCTTTATCTCGATTCTAAGTCAATAAAATCACTTTGCTTACAGAGGAAGTGACTTGAGGTTACAAATGCACAGACCATGCTCTCTATCAGAGAGGCGGATGATGCATTTTTAGGGGACTAATTCACCCACCCTTCACTTTCTCTCATTACCTGCTTCCTGAAGGAATTGGCATGCAGACCCTGAGAAAAGCTCTGCTCCAGTGTCCTTGAGAGGCTCTCTGATTTATCTTCCTATTTTTAAGGATGGGCTGAAACGCCTTATGAGTTTGGGCTTGCTTAGCAGGCATGATTTCTGATGTCTGTGGCAGCTCAGCATATCTGTAGACAGTGATCAGACAAATACCTCTGAATCACTCACTGAATAAGATGCTCCTTTATTCCCTGACTCAGGTGTCTGAGGATGCCGTGTTGCCAGCGCAGGGATACTGGGCTGCATCTGGGTTTGTTTTACCACAGGGGTTCAGTTCATGTCCATTAAGGTGGTGAGATGCTCTGCAGCATCACGTGTGGCACTTCAGGTGTGGCTGTTCTCTGGCAGTGTGGGGAGGCAGTGAGGGGTGGGCTTCCCTGCCGTGCAGAGCCCAAATGTGTCTCTAGATTTTTCATTCAGCATCAAGTAAAAGCATTTCACTTTGTCCCTTATTTAGCACAAGGTCATCCCCTGTGGTCCATTCTGTTGTTTGAGAATGGCTGTGTTTGGGAACCGCTGTGGGCTCTGCTTGTCTCTGAGTCAGCAAGGCACAGGGGCTTGCAGTTCAGATCTGCACGTGGGTGGTGTGGGCAGCTGTACTGTCCCTCTGTGCAGCTGCTCCTCACTGCAAGCACCCCACCTCATTGCAAGGTCATCTCTTCATGCAAGTTGAGCAAGATGGTTTTGTCTTGACAATGTTGTTACCTTGTGGAGAGAGGAACTCTCTCAGTCCCATTTCACTGAATGCTGCAAGGTGTCTGCTGTTGCTTACCCCATGCGACTGTTTATGTGTATATATCAGGAAAACAAAGACCAGCAGTGGAAGAGAGCCATGGACTATTTGAGTGCTATCTCAGAGCTGAACTACATGACCCAGATTGTTATCATGCTCTACGAGGACAACAACAAGGTGAGGGATAGAGCTGTAGGATAAAATGCTTCCTGCCGTGATGCCAGGCACAGTCCCCAGAGATGAGTTGAGCTGGAAGTCTGTAACCTGAACTCTCTACACTTGTGAACAAAGACAGACGGATCATTAACACAACTGCTAGCTTTTGGTTTTAAGCAGGAAGCAGTGACCCAAGTTAATGCTTGTTACATGTAACCAGAATGTCACCCTGAGCAGTAACACCAAACTTATGTAATCAATACCAACTAGTTTAAAGCATTTCCTAGTGCAAAATTATTTGCTGCTTCTCAATATTAATTGCAAATGAACAGTAGGAAAAAATAAGTAAAAGCAAGTTATATTTGGCTGTGTTTTTGAAATATTTCTAGAAAATATCCAGAAATTCCACATTCATAAACTTTTTTTTATTTTAAAAGTGTGCTGGTATAGTTAGGGACGTGTATACTGATATCTTCAGGAAATAAAGAGAATCATTTAATAAACATCTGGAATGTGGGAGCTGATGATGGTGACTGTAAATAGGTATGGCACCAAACTGCACATCCTGATCCCCAGACCCTGTGACTCAGGTGTATGCTGCAGGAGGTTGTAGTGGTGAGGGGAGAAGCCCCTTCCCCATATCCTATAGAGTTAGAGCCTTGTATTCACAGAGCTAGTGTGGGCTTCTAATGGTAGAAGTTCTGCTTGTCAAAAAAAAAGTTTGAGCTCTCAGGAGTGGTGTGGATCTGGCAGTCTGTCAAAATGGTGAAACTTTTGGTTTTACATCATTAGTGCCGGATACTGTAAAAGTTCTGGCTTCCTTAAAAAAAGCTTAATGAAAAATTATTATTAGAGACAGTTATTTAAATCTTGGAACAGCCTGACTGAAGGTCCAGGAGAGACCCAGTCTCCCCCTGTCCCGTCATGTGCCAGGTTTACAGCAGGAGTGGGTCGTAAGGGACTGGGGTTTAGGGGTGTGTATATATATACACATAGAGCCCAATTCTGTTTTACTCCTCTGTGGCTGTTGTTCCAAAATGACAACAGTCTGAATGCCTCAGCTGTGGGCTGATCAGGGCTGTCCTTTTGGATGAGACAAACTTGAAGCCATTCTGTTTGTGGTTTCTTGTTGCTTCTGCTTTCCCTCCAAAAGATGTGCCTGGGAAACGTGCTGGCCGGCACGGCAGGGCGGGACCTTGGCCTGTGCTGATGGTAGAATAAATTAGGTTTGGTTATTTACCTATTCCCTGTGCTGTGTGTTCACAGGACCCCTCTTCAGAGGAGCGTTTCCATGTGGAGCTGCATTTCAGCCCTGGTGTCAAAGGCTGCGAGGAGGACAGGAATGTGCCCACAGGATGTGGCTTTCGGCCGGCCTCGGCAGAGGTGAGCAGACACCTGGGCAGGGGCCACCGGCCCCAGGGGACCCTTGTGTGCTGTTCTGCTCTGCCTGGCCCTACTGCAGCGAGTTCTTCGCTGGCCGCTCTCCCCTGCCCACAGGCAGCTGGTGGGTCATGTCCCTGCCCCCGTCCTGGTTCGTCAGGGGCTGGTGGGGCCACGGGTGTCCTCCAGAGCTCAGCAGGATCTGAAGCTGGAGCTGGTGCAGGGCAGCTGTGGCAAAGGCCGCGTGCCTGTAGGCATCAGTGTCTCCTTATGGCAGAACGAGGACAAGAAGGCTGACCAAGGCAGCCTGGAGGACCTCTCCAAAAAGGGCAGCGATGAGCCAGACCGTGCTCAGCAGAAGTCCCCACAGCCCTCTGAGCCAGTCAGCATCCAGCGAAGGTCGCCGCTGATCAGGAACCGGAAGACGGGGTCCATGGAGGTAACTATGCCGTGGGCATCCTTCCTTGTTCTAACAAAGGCCTTTTGCTTGGTTTTGGTTTCCTGGCATTCCTTTTGACATGTCAGAGTCTGAGTTGATGCTGGGGAAGGATCTGTAGAAGGTAAAGAAGGATGTTGTGGAAAGCAGACCTCTAAAATTCCCCATTGAGGAAGGACGGGGGGAACACAGGCTAGGGGAACTGATGAGGAAGAGCAAGTAAAGAAATGCTTGAGAAACACAAGAATTGTTTGGATTACATGCTCTGTAGAGGCACTGGTGTAGCCAGCTATGAGATTACATGCAACCTCATCACCTAGCTATGGTGACATCTCTGCCTTCCCTTAGGCTCCATCCTTTGCCTCTCACAAAGGCAGCTCCGTGTTTCTCGTTCTTCTCTCCCATCTGAGATCTCATGCTGATCAGGGGTCCCTGCTCACTGGTGGGTTCATCCAGGGTGTTGAAGCTGTCAGGGTTTAGAACTGTCCCATTCACTGATCTGCTGGAGTAACAAAATTGATTTTACCATTCTAACCTCTCCCCTTCCTGACCGTTCCATGTCACAAGGCCAGTGTCACAGTCAGCACGTGACTGTCACCTTCAGAGTGCTCTGGAATTGTCCCTCCTTTTGGAGGGATTTCACAGGCATTTTTGCCATCAATTTTCTGAACCAGTGAAAGCAGAGTTAAGGTTTGAGATATTTGTTAGCTTGCTTCCAGTGCTGAGTGTTGTCACCTTTGCGTGCAGCGCTCAGAGGCTTTTTGTAACAGGCTATGTTTAACATACTAAGTTGAACAGGATATGATTTCCTGCTGCTAAAGTGGAAGTCTATGTCCCAGTGATTCCAGCAAGAGTCTTGGGAGACAAGGAACTCAATACATGAGTCCCTTTGTACTTTTCAAATTTCCACTGTTTCACAAGCCAGCACAAACTTGAAATTAAAATTGAGCATTCACTGTCACAATCTTAGCATATGAGTACCTTTGTGCTTCTTGAAAATGGTGTTTTTATGGAAGAGACATACCTTTCTTTACCTTCAATTGATGTATAAAGGCTTTTGAGAGCAGGGGGTAACTTGGAGCACAACACTGATTACACTGTCTGTCTTTGCAGGTGCTATCTGAATCTTCTTCCAGATCAGGAGGTTATCGCCTCTTCAGCACATATTCCAGGCAGTCTTCTGAGATGAAGCAAAGTGGCTTAGGTACTGTACCTCACCTGTAACCAGCCTGCTCACCTGTACCTTTGTATTTCCGTGGGCATCAGTCTTGTCTCTCCACATACACGTCTGACTTGAGTTCCTTGTATGTCTCTGTGTATTTTATGTCTTCTCTCAGTGTTACTGTTGAGAACATTGTAGAGACTGTCTTAGTGTATTTCTTCTTGTGTACGATCTTCTCCTTCACCTGGTAGCAACAGAAGATGCACTTTTCATCCTTTATAGTATGGGAGGAACAGGGCAAACTGCCTACCTGCAGGCTGGCCTTCTGCTTCTCTGATGCTCTCATTTGTTACACCGTTTCTGAACTTAGTAGGAAGAAATGATTTTAGGTTAGAACTAGCATGCTTTCTGTTCTGCAAAACAGCAGTTTATGTGCAAAGCTGCTCTTCGTGTGAAACTGTTCTATTTCTACCTTTGCTTCATCAACATCCATTGTATGGAACAGATGTGTCACATGCAAGGTGTTTGGCAGCCCTCTAATTGAGCTGGAGTCCTTAGTCACCCATTCTTCGCGTGGTAACCAGTGGAAGAGAATATTTTGGGGCACTTGGTATTCTCTGCCCGTCCTTGATAGTTCCATTCCCTGTCATCCTAACCTAAACTATTTCTGAATAGTTGAAACTCTTCCTGAAAAATTTTGCTAAAACAAGGTCTATTTGGAAACTCAGAAGCTGTCTTTGTTGTCATGAGGTTCCGAGATGGCTGTGTAACCTGAGTCTTGCAGATAGGAGGTGATAATGGCCAATTTATGCCCACTTTCTTTTTCTCTAAAACCATCTTAGCATTGTGGCATGGCTGCAGACTTGCAGCAGTTCTGATTCATCAGTTCTTTACTCTGTTATATGGACAACCTGCAGCCAAGAAGCTTCTGAAAGGCTGATAATTTCTTTGTCACTTTTGAACAAGCTGCTTCTTCGGAAGCTAATTCTTAACAAGGAAAGCGAATTTTCTTCTGAGTGGTCAGGAAGTATGCCTGGAGTCTGACAGGTATGCTCCCAGCAAGCTGGAAAAATCTAAATAGGAATTGCTGATGCATATTATTTTCATAAAGGGACAATAGCTTTGGCCATGGTGGGTTTTGAATGTGTTGTTTCACTTATTTCTGCCTTTCTCAGCCCCACTGTGGGTTTCAGTGAGCTGTGACAGACTGCCTTGCTTAGACTTGAAGAAACCTCTGGGTATTCTGTGAGTCCATGTGGATCAATATGTGAATTTCTGAGATGGGGCACAGTCAAGGAGGTGCATCTGCTTGGAGAACAACCAAGTGCATCAAACTGTTTTTACTGTTGGATGTGTGAGCACTCTGGAAAGCAGGTATTACAGCCCTTGGACTACAGCCTTTTCCAGGTTTCAGAGGAATGTCTGTTTTGACAATGGAGAAGACCACTGCTCTTCTGCACCTTTGTACAGTACTACTTTTTCTTGACAACAAAATTTGAAATGTGAATCCAGCAGATTTAATTTCAGATTCTTGCCTGACGTGCCTTGCTGGGAAGTCTGTGCTGGTCAGTCTTCTGACTGTGAAGCCCTGCAGAGAGAAAACCTTAAGCAGGAATTGATAGACCTGATCTGTGACACAGACCTCCAGCTGGATACTCAGCCCAGCCATCAGTCTCCTCTGTAGAACCTTGTAGCTGCGGGCACAGAAGGATTGAGCAGGAGAGACCTGTGGTGCCACACCAGCTTGCACGACCCTTGGAGTTTAGGATGTCTGTGTTACTGTGAGTTTCTCTTAACCTGAGGCCTGTTATGAAGAACGATGCCTCTTTACCTGCACAAGTCAAGCTCTTCATGGAATCTTCCTGATTCCTTTCCTGCTTGTTTTCTTAGAAATCTAATTTCTTCTCCCTTTAGGATTTGAAATGTGTTCTCTCTGTGAGAGATAATACAGAACTCACTGGAGCTTGAACTTTTGCTTTAATACTTTCTCAGCAGCTGTGCTGTGAGGGGCCTCATTCAGGCACTGCCTGCTGTTTCTGAGTTTTCTGAAGTTGAATGCACCTCCTGTTGAATGTTGCCTGACCTTGTCAGTGCCTGGCTGTCCTTATCTCTGGAAAATGGAGTGTCTGTCCAGGTATAACCTGGTATGTGTAGGCATGCAGGAACGGGGAGAAGGATGGAGCTCCTGCAATAGCCCTGCTGCCATACCTGCCAGAATGGTGCCTCTACTGTCATTTAAAAAATGCCCTTGAAACCTCTCTTTGGAAAAGGGGTGGCTGCAGCTTGTTTTGTCTGTGCTTTGGAGTGTGCCACTTTCTCTGGGCAGCATCAAGTGCATTGTTGTGGATTGTTTGCCATAGTGTGTATGCTTCTAGCTTGAGAAGCCCAGGGAAGTTTCAGTGCCTTTCTTTGTTTGCAAGAAGGCTTCAAAATGGGGTAAAATCACTCCAGGCTGTTTGAGCACTGCCAGTGGCATGAAGCCTTATGCTGAGACTCCCAGCGGGAAATCGAGGATGTCTGTCTTTAAACATCTGAAACATCAAATGAAGATGTGAAAATTTGATGCACAGAAAAGATCCAGCACATAAAGTAATTTCTAGCAAGTGCAAGTACATTTAAATCCAAATGGCCTTTATGTTCTTTAGGATGTGTGTGTGTGGGTGGTCCTGGAGTTCACTGTAGATGATTGCTGTTGTCCATACAGTCATCTTTGTAAATTTTCTTCTGGCTTAAGGGCACTAGCAAAATGCCTCTGTCTGCAGCAGGGAAGCAGAAACACTGGGGTATCCTCAGCTTAATGATTAGTGGCACAAGGTTTCTCAAGATAGAAAGTCCTAAAAATCGGATGTTCCATTTTTATCTTCCAGTAAATGAGTCATTTGGGTGGGTTTTGTTGCTGTTGTTTGTTTTTAAGCCGTGGAAGAGCAATTAGGAGCATCATCCTGGCTTCTGCATGAAAAAATTTCGTTTGCATTCTGACAGATTCCAGTTCATGCTGAGTCAGCACTCAGCATCAATTTAAGACATAAGGAGGAAATTTTCTAAGGCTTGTGTATCCATGACCCTGCAGGCAAGAGTTCTTTGTCTGTCCTGGTCTGTGCTGTGGAAAGCCCCCAGCAGTGTCACCATGCGGGAGCAGCTGCAGTTCAGTGCTGTGAGAATGCTTTCAGTCACCCCAGGAGCAGATGGTCAGCTCAGGCTGAGCTTAGGTGTGAACAGCTCACTGCTCAGGATCTCTGTTTTCTCTAAAGAACTCTGGCTAAAGGATCTTTGCAGAGACAGAGCTGGGGCCCCAAAAAGCAATGAGTGGATGTGAGTCAACAGCATGTCCTCATATGAGAAATAAATAACCTCGTTTTATTACAAGCAAATGAACTGAGTAGAAAGGCAAAAGGGGGGAGGGGCTTTTATTAACCAAAGAGGGGTTTTTTTTTTCTTTTTAATTAAAATAGGTGCAGCACAGAGTTGTAAGGTGAATGGTTCTGTCCGAACCTGACACCAGGGAACTTTTGTGGCCGGGAATAGGGAAAAATGCAAACTACAATGTAACTAAACAAAGATCTTTTCTGCCATGCAGCAACCTATTGTGTACAGGGGGAGCCCCCAGGACCTGGTCCAGGGGGGTACATCACAATTAATCAAAAAGAAGGGTAACACCCCCTCCCTGCTCGGAGAAATTACCTTTTTAGGTAAAACCCGCGATTTAATGAATATGTAACAGCTTATGTCACCCAAAGAACTACAAAGGCGTGGTTTTCAAACGGTCATGTGCTTCCAGACCCTCGTGGCTTTGGGACACCCGGCACGCTGAAATAAAACCTTCCATGACGCTTTTTTTGTCTCACAGGTTTTTGCCATCTTTCTAACTTTGAAGGAGGAATTTTTCCCACACTCACACCAGGGAAGGCTGATGGCATGCTTGGCTGCATCACCTGGAGTACAGCCATCAGGCTGAGGGGTTTGGCTCTTTCCTGCCGTTCACCTCTTGTGAGAGGCTGTGCCTGAAGCTCTGCTGTCCTGCCCTGGGCTCCCTGGGGTGTGGAGGGGGTGGGTGTCAGGGTTGTGAGTCCAAGGGGCAGTGGAGGTGAATGGGCCTGGAGCACAGACATTGGAGGAGAAGCTGGGAGCAGGGCTTGTTCAGATCAGGACCTGTGGGGAGTGGAGACCTTAATGCTGTTCTGCCACCTAAACAGGAGGTTGCAGAGGGGACAGACACAGACTATCCCCAAAGCCCACGCTGGTCAGTTGAGAACCAACAGATGCAAGTTGCCGCAGGAGAAATTCCAGTTAGCTAGGAGGAACCAATTTTTCACCCACCATGAATGTGCCAGATATTGGAGCAGGGGCCGAGAGAGGTTGTGAAATCTCCTTTCTTGAGGATATTGACAACTTGACTGGACAAACACTAGCAAGATGATCTGAGTTAGTCCTGCTGGAGCATTGGGAAAGAAGCTTCAGGCTCCTTCCAACCAAAATATGATGCAGTATTTTAGAATCAAGAGCTGCTTCCAATGTAGGCAGGATCTCTTTCACAGTAGTTATAGTTGCACTGTTCCAATAAATACTAATAAGCAGTGTGGCAGGTTTTTTTACCTTGGCAGACAAGGTGGAACCAGATCAATCTGCTTGTTTCTGGAAGCTTTTTGTAATGTAGGAGTAATGTTGGTTTTAGCAGCTGGTAGTCTCAGTAGAGAATGCAGCAGCAAGACAGTTTAGCAAAGAATTTACAGCCAATCAGTGGCTGTATCTGGCCCATAATAGGGTTTTGTCTCACTCACAATTGTTTTCCTCAGTCAGTCGAAAGAATCCTTTTTCAAATGCCTGGTGTTCCCTCAATATCACACAAAGTCAAGTCAGTCTGCAGAGCGCTGTGCTTCGGCAAAGCCAAAGCCACGGGAATTAGGTTGCTCTCCATTTTGCACACCACGTTCCTTGACACAGAGTGGGTAAAATTCCATGATATATGCACATCTGGTGCTTTGCGAGGCTTTTTCATGGAGCAGGTGGACCTGTGCTGGAGCAGCGAGACAGGACTGAGTGGCTGTGAAGTATCAGCTTGTGAAAGCAAGCTCTCTATTCACAGTGTTTTCCTTACTTTTTCACACGGAATTAATCCATGCTGGCTGATCCACAGATCAAACAGTCCTTTCCTCTCCTTGGTGTCCTACAGAAAAAGGAACTTTCCAAAGAGAAAGGGCAGAAGAGCAGAGCAATAAAGCCCTATGACGGGAACATCAGCAGTTTGACATCCTGACTGCTCTGACATCAGTGTGCAGCTTTGCTGACTGGAGGGAGTAAAGGTGTTTCTCCTAGGTCAGGGCAAGAAAGCCAAACAGAATTAAACTCCTGGATGGAGTTAGGAACTTTCCTGGTGCTGAGCTTTGGGCTACCTGCTGTACATTTGGCACTATGGAATTTAGAACTTTGGAGAACTTTGCCGCCTTGTGCTTCCCAGCGTCATGTTTTTTCCTGAGTTTGCTTGTAAAGTGACCAGTTCATTCTTCATCCTTGGACTAACCCTGCTTTTCTGTAGTTGCATGCAGTGGATATGTGATACTAACACCTTCCCTGCCTTTCCAGGATCACAGTGCACCGGGCTGTTTAGCACCAATGTGCTGGGAGGCTCCTCCAGTGCCCCCAACCTCCAGGACTACGCACGCAGCCATGGCAAAAAGTTTGCCAGCAGCCTGACATACAAAGACGGTATGTGTGTTCCCTGGCAGCAGGGTGGTACTTTGTGGACATTGGTATCTCAGGGTGCTCCTGTGGCACAGACTTGGACTGCTGAAAACAGTGACAGCTGAATGTGTATATTCACTGCATCTACAGTAATGAATTTACCCAAGAAATTGTGATGCTTGCTAGGACAGACAGGGGCTGACATTGTGAGAGGAGTTTTAGGCTGATGTGTGTTATTGCTGGGGTCTGACTTTGGTCTGACATTTTAATACTACTCGCTGTTGTGAGTGGGGATTTATTGGTCCAGATCTTGAGTAGGTTTGACCTGGTATGGAAATCCAGCAGATCACATCAGCTTGCTTACCTTGGTGATCTTGCTGATGCTAAGTGAAGCTCTTTGCCCTATAGAAGGTGGAGCTGTCCCAAAGGCAGAATGATATTCTTGGGCATGGATAAGATGGACTAGCCTCACTAGAGTGAGGCTGGGCATGCAGTGGAGTGTGAGGTAGCTGTCAGGAAGCAAGGGCAGTATAGCTGAAAGGCTTGAGGTAAGTGGGCTGCTTGTATGAAATACTGCAGAAGGACTGGAAAGTCTGGTTTCTGTGCAGTTGTGCAGAAACTGCCAGGAAGGTCAGCAAGACAATCTGGTGAAGGCACTTGGGCCACGGGTCTGAGCGTTGCCCGATGCCCATGGGTGCAGGTGCTGCAGCTGTGCCCTGTCCTGCCCAGCACTGGTGCCACGCACAGAGAGCAGCAGAAGGTTGTTACCTGCAAGGAAATTGGGACACAGGGAGAGACTGAGCTGTCCTGGAACAGCTGGAGGGTGTAATGCACAAGTGCAGGTGTCCATTGTGGTCCCAATAGGAAAGGCACTCAGACTCTAATTACTGATTCACATACCACTGAGTTGA